TACCCTTGAGGTAGCAGGCATTGGAGCAGCTATGGTCCCATGCCTTCTCTTAGCTTTCCTAAATGAAACTCTTTCTCCATCGCTCCTTACAAGGGAGCAGCTGAAAAAGGCCAATTAATTCATTCATAGCCTGGGGGGCGGGTAGCAGCCTTCCAGCATCTCAGGCAGTCTGCTGTTTAAAGGTTCTACCCAGGTTCAATCTTGGTTCTAGATCTGTCCTGAGTAAGCGGCTACTCTAGAGCTGGGAAAGGGGGCTGAGAGGGAGAAAGCATTTTTTCCTAGGGTGGCTGTGTGTTGCACTTTACAAATGATAACCCTCTGTTTGAAGGTATCCTCTTTCTCAGTGACTCCCACAACTTTTGGGTGGCCCTGCCCCTTGGCTCCATAAACTCACCCTCCGTCCCCCAACCCTACCCTATGAAAACCCTCGTTCAGAATAGCAGTTTGCACAACCTACTTGCATATTCAAAATCAAATTAAAACTTTTAAGTTTCATTAAGTCGACAAAGCTAATCAACTTGTTGCCATGATCAATGTACACCTCCGCCACACCCCTGCCTCTTAGGGTCCTCCTAAGTAATCCCAGCACACCCCCCCCAAGGGGTAGCACCACCCACTTTGGGACCCACTGCTCTGTCTGAGGGAACCACCGGGTGGTCCAGTTTTCCATCTTGTTAACACACACCTTCAGCTTATTGGCCCTCATTCAGCCCTTGGCCTGGAATCTGAATGGAGAAGTGGAGCTGGGTGGCACCAACAGACTGCCGTAACTGCGCACTTTCTGATTCAGTTTAGTCCGGCCCCCAAACTCCCTGCCCTCCGCCCCCCAGATCCAGGAAAAAATCTGCACCAGGCCTAGGCTTCAGCCCTAGCATGGAGCCATTTCATAAAACTGCTCAGGAAACTAGCCTGATAGCAGTGACTGAAGATGTCTCACAGCACAGAAGACAGAAAGTAGCAAAAAAAAGAGGTGGTGTTTGGAATTAAGTTCAGCCAGGGAGCTCATTATAGGGGACAATGAAGTATCCATATAGGGGAGAAAGTGTAAGGTACGTTAGGCTGAGAGGCAGCGACTGACCCGAGGGCACCCAGTGGGCTTTGTGGCCAAGCGAGGATTTGAACCCTGGTCTCCCAGGTCCTTGTTGCTTTGAGTTCACCTTTAATAAATAAAACAACCACCTTTTCCCATAAACAACAAAACAATGGGTACAACAGCTCTCCCATTTCTACAGTTTTCCCTGCTTTTCAAGTAAGTTGAATTACTGGCTGCAAGAAATTAAACTAGGTGCATCCACTCACATCTGAAGCTGCCAGTCTCTTATGGCGGAGCTCTCCTGCTTCTTTGAAGTGATTTGGCTCATTCCAGTATGGAGTGGTGGTGATGAGAAATATGGCAATTGCTAGAGTTGTGCCTATGGTGCAGCTGCTGTAAAGGAATAGAAGCCTCAGCCTAGAGATGGGGAATTGGCGGCCTTCCAAGTTTTTGTTGGACTACAACTGCCATCATCCCTGACCACACTGGTTGCAGCTGATGGGATTTGAGGTCCCACAACATGGCCCCTGCCTTAGATGGCTTGACTGGATGAGATGCATACCTCCACCTTTTAAGAGAACTCCTTACAAAGCAGCTTGGAAAAATGGGGGAAAGATGGTGGTGCAATGGTCGTGTGGCCTTCCAGATATTGTGGGACAACATCTCCCATCATCCCTGACTGCTGGCTGGGCTGATGGGAGTTGGAGTTCAGCAACATCTGCAGGGCTACAAATTCCTCAGCACCTCTGTAAGAAAGAGGCAAACCTGGCCACCACTTAGGAGTCATTACACACCATGCCCAAGGCTCCTTTCCCAAAGATAGCATCAAGCGTCTGGTGGAAAGGACAATGTCTTACTGTTCTTGATGCCCAGGAATCCTATGCTAGTTTGCCCAGCTGTGCCTGCAGGCTTCCAACCCAACTGCCTTGCTTGCCTTCCAGGAGCCGTTCAAGCAGCTCTTCCATGGAATCACAGCAGTCCCGGACTTCGGACCAGCACTGCCTGTCCTGCTTCCATTCAAGACGCAATTCTGGTCCACCTTGTGTCGGGTGAAGAGCCAAGACAGCCCAGAGGCCGACCTGCAAGAGAATGACCTCGACATCCTTCTGCCTGCGTTACCTTCTTCCACTCCCCCCCCCAATAATATTGGTGAGGTTACATTCAGGACAGCAAACAAACAGGAAGTCCTGTGGCACCTGCAAGACCCTGGCTGTGACCCTGCAATGCAGACCCCACACACCCTGCCTTGTTTGTAGTGTGGGCAAGAGGGCTGTAGTGTTCAGCAAGAAGAACGTGCAGCTACTGCTGCAGCCAGCAAGAAAAGGAAGGTTAACCCCCCCCCCAAGCATTTCCCATTTAGAATGAAAGAAATGGAGTAAATAAATTTACCCGTGCAGATGCAGGAAATAAAGGTTGAGTCTCTAACAGCTGCTCTGAGTGAATGTGTTGTTCTGTGCCAGGAGCCACGATGGGTGATGCATGTTTGGGAGGGCAGGAAGGGGTGGCGGGTCCTGCCCATCTATCCTCAATCTCAAACACCTAATCATGTTTTCCCCAATGTCATAAAACTGTGACCCTCCCAGTCAGGCAGATTGGTGTGACACCTTATAGCAAGACCAGCTAAGACACAGCAAAATATAAGGCACATTTTCTGGTTCCCCAATACAAAGAGGGTAGGGATGTGTTCTGGTGGTGGTGGGGAGAATAGTCTTCAGTTGGCAATATAGGTGGGGATGTCATGCAGACTTAGTTATGCAAGGCCAGCCTTCACCAACCTGCTGCCCTCTGGGTGTTTTGGACTACAAGTCCCATCAGCCCCAGGGGGTACAAACCAATATCTGAGTTACTACAGCTCAGATTGGGGGGGGGGCATGTGAGTCCTGGGTGCAGAGGCTGAAGAATCCAGAATCACAATCAAGCCAAATTCCATTGCTTGCTTAGAAATTCTAGGTCATAGAATCATCAAACTGTGGACTTGGAAGGGACCCAAAGGGCCATCCTGCAACGCAGGAATCAATATCAACTATCCTACCTGTTGCTCTCACTCAGCCGGCTCCACATCAATCACCCCTGAGCATCAGCCTTACTCATCACCCTTGTCAAAGCACCTGTTGATGCCTCTGACACGAGCACTCACAGATGCACACTGCAGAGAGATCCCTTCAGCTCAGCCCCTTTTCCAGACCGTTAGATACATGGAGACCAGCAAGGCACGTAACCCAAATCCCCATGGCATCTCCAGTTGCCTGCTTACTGGAGCACCCTGGCATTCCTGCCTCTTGGCCAGTGCGAAAAACCTGTGGAAAGCCAAGATTTGTTTTTTTGAAGTGTGTGCCATCCTTGGAGCAGAGCAGCCAGATCTGCAATCTCATCTTCTCCAGACACACAGAAAGTATCGACAATACTCCCTCACTTGGAACGACAAGTGTGACGGAGATCCAGACCAGCAGCAAATGGGGAGCAAGCGTTTCTTTTTTGCTGCTGCCACCTGGTGATGACAGGAACAGCTGACATTTGATGCAAAGCCCAGTAGCACACAGAGAAGGTCCAGGGATCCCTGCTCCTCTCTGAGTTGTGTTGGGGGTTTCAAAGAAGTGTGAGAGACGTGCAACACACTCTTCTGGGTCCTGTCCAAAAAGAGGGCAAGGCAGTGACACACTGTCCCTTTGGATGAGGCCTGGAAACATGAGGCCCAGCACAGGCAGCACAAATGCCTCCACAGAATGTCCTGCGAGGTTCAGTATCTGGCACCACCGACAGCGCAGCCCCCTACATGAGGACAGCCAAGAGAGAGTGCTACATGCAGCCAAACTAGAGTCAGCACTTAAGGGAGGAGGGGGAGAGGGACACACTTCAAGAGCTCAGCCCAGGAGAAGACTGAGCCGCACAAATAATACAAACGAGGTTAAAAATGCTAACACCAAACTCTGGGTTTCTATACAGAACCCATTTTTAGGCTCCCGCCTGAGGTGATGCCAAGTCACAGGAAATATACTTTTCCACACACAAAAATAGTAACTTGTCAATTTGGGAGCAGCAACAGACACGCACAGATCCAGCCTGCAAATAACTCAAAGCCAAACCATAGCTTCACACACGAACACAGGATCATATGGCCTTTGGTCCTCCTCTGGTCCTGCTGCTGTAAGCTGCTTTGGCTTTGCATGAAATCTAAATCATGATTTCTCTTTTCTAGACCATGGGTAGGAAACTAAGGCCTGGGGGCCGGATGCAGCCCAATCGCCTTCTCAATCCGGCCCGTGGACGGTCCGGGAATCAGTGTGTTTAACATGAGTAGAATGTGTCCTTTTATTTAAAATGCAGCTCTGGGTTATTTGTGGGGCATAGGGATTTGTTCATTTCCCCCCCCCCAAAAAAAAAATATATTCTGGCCCCCCACAAGGTCTGAGGGACAGTGGACCGGCCCCCTGCTGAAAAAGTTTGAGGACCCCTGCTAGACAAACCATGACCTGTAAACCTAGGAACAAACCTTGCTTAGTTTGTCTGGAGACAAAACCACACGCTCAGGTTCAAATGACGAAGAAAGCCAAACTGTGGCTTAGCTTACAGCGGGACTGGAGGAGCAAAGGAGCTGGCAGGCTCATGTGTTCATGCTAAGTGGTGGTTTGGCTTCAAGTTTTGTGTGAATTGAGCCATGCATAGGAATGTAAAAGGCAGAGAGCACCTGTAAACTGCAACTGGCTGTTATTAGTTCTTGTCTAAAAGCCTTCCACAATCTTGGTTAAGCTGCCATGATGATGTCACAGGCACCTAGCAAGAACATCAGGCCTGCCAAGGGCAAGTTGCCCTCCGCAGCCTAGTTTACAATACTTTTTTAGCACAATGCCATGCATTTGGCAGCTCAATAATAAAGGCAACACAGAGAAATCCCCCACAAAGCAGAAATATGAGCGTTCACTGAGTGCAAGATGACGACTTACAAGCAGTGATGACAGAGCAAGACAGCTTTATAAAATGTTCTCATTTTATTACAGAATATACACAAATACACTTCCTGAACTACAAGGCTGGAAAAGAACCATGTAGGCAGTGTCCATGCACTAAGTTGTCTCAGCTAGCCTGACGGTCAAAGCCCCAGACAGCAGACAGATGAACTCCACTCAGGCTCCCATTTCCATCCGCCAAGGAATCTGGGCACCTGCTGGCCAGAGGGGAGCCTCTTTCTTCGCCCTTCCCTTTGGGCCGGAATGCATTTTGGCAAGAAAAAATACTGATCTTTGAGTCCTGAAATCACTACTGCAAAGTCGGTGGCTGGTGCTGCTCCTTGCAGCTGTTCTTAGACACTCTTGGCCTTACAGAATCCACACCAGAATTGGCAGGCCATTGACTCCAGTCCTGCAATGGGTGGCAGGTCCTCAAGGAGTGCAATAGGCGCAGCCAAGTAAAAAGGTCACTGAGGTAGGCCCAGAAGTAACAGCCTTTTATAAAACGAAAAGGAGGGGAAAAGGAGCGAATCAAACAGGCCACCCATCTCTGGAAATGAAGCCATGCCCAATTCTCAGATGGAGAGAGAGAAGAAATCCAGTTGAGAGCTTTCTGTTCTACGCTCACAGAAATGATTACGCTGCACTCTGTGCACAAGGGACTCTTCAGCCAACCCAGCCTCTTTGTGCATCTTCCCCCTTGTATGTATACGAACCTCTTTTTCTCTCTGCTAACTTTGATACTTCTGTTTGTGTAGTACAGGGAGCTTCATGAGGGCAAGGAATGGTAGTTCAGGGGGAAATGGATCACAACACAGTTCCTGGTGTGCTGCAAATTTCTCAAGTATCCAGCAAATGCATTTGATTTGTTCCTCATCTCCAGACTGACTGCGAGGCCTGTAATCCCCCATCCCTCTCCAATGATTGTCTTTTGCAAATAACAGACGCTTTCCCTGCACTTTAGGGAAGATACTCAGCTGAAACAGGAAGCCCTCCAGGAGCTTATGGGATGCTCATGGACCACAAGCCATCCCACCCAAACGTCTGCTGGCAGAGTGCTGCATCAACCCATCAGCAACTAAGACAACTGGCCACCCCTCCTGAAAGCAACATGGGAAGACAACAGCCTCTCTGCTTCCCAAGAGTGGCCCAACAGAGACCACGTGTGGACAAATTCAGGCTCCAACGATGCTTGGTCAGAAAGTGCTCTCCAGCAAGCAGTGGCACCCACAGCCTGTGGGACACACTTCCTGAGTGCGGAACCACTCCATCATGTGGCTGGTGTGTCCTCCATGCCCGCAAGTCAGGCAGAAGTTGGAAGAGCCTCGGACTGCCACGTGGCAGATGGCACACTGGAACGCAAAGCCCTTGCAGAGGGCACACTGAACGCCACGCACTTCGCTGCGGCAGTGGCTGCAGTAGACTCCAAACTCTGCAAGGAGAGAAAGAAAGGAGAAGCAGTAGAGAGGTTATTGGTGGGGCTCTTGCAAGCAAGGCTGCACCTGCAGGGAAAAGGCTGGCATATCAGAAAGCTAGGATCTGGACGCCATCATGTTACTAACACCATCACTGTGGGCTCTTTGGTTTTGCCTTCTTTTCTTTCTGCCAGAGGGCATCTCAACAGAAGAAGCTTAAAAAAAACCCTCCGGCAAATATCCCATTAGCCAAAGTAGAAAGACTCTCTGCTCCCATGGATCAATTTTGTAGGAGGCAGAGAGGAAAGAGAGGCCTGTACTACCCAGTCCAAGGACAATTTCTGTGGGAAGGAAACCCAGGACCTTCTTGCACGCACAGCATCTACTTTTCCACTGAGTTCTATAGTTCCTCCATCGAGGTTTCCACTCACCAATCCCCTTGTGCGGGTCAGGGGGGCAAGAGACAAACTTGAGAACTTCCGCCCGTTTCTCTCGCAGGCCCCAGCGGTAAAGGATTTCTCCGTAGCACTTCTTAAAGTCATCAAACTGCTGGGTGTTGGCTGGGTCCAGAAGCCTGGAGAAAGATCACAGAGTCCTCATCTCCACATACAATGAAGCCAAAGGGCACCTAAGCGCCTTTGTCCCGGGCTAGCAAAGGCTGGCATTTACTCACAGTCACTGCATGATACCGCCTCTGCATTTCTCTTCCCTTTGTCCCCGCCCTCCAAATAAAATTCAGATTGTGTGTTCTTAGGGGCAGGGACCTATCTGATTTTGTTTTGTGTTTATGTAGATTTTTCTGTACGTTCCAAGTTACCTAGATGGGCTTTGCTTCACGCTGCTTTTTATTCTTCTCAGTTTTGTATGATTGTAGTACGCAGTATTATCGTAGTACAGTGGAACCTAGGTTTTCGAACGTAAAACATTCTGGAAGACAGTTCAACTTCCAAAACATTCAAAAACCAAGGATCAAAGGGTAGTCGACAAAATCAATTGAGAAAGTGGGGAAAGCGCCTCAGAAGCCGTTCAACTTCCAAGGCACGTTCAAAAACGGAAGCAATTACTTCTGGGTTTTCAGCGTTCTGGTTCTGAATTGTTCGGCTTCCGAGACGCTCGAAAGCTGAGGTTCTACGTTATGTGCCTCTGAAGGTCAAACAGCTAAGAAAAGTGGCCCAGGTTCTAGCACTTTCACAAAGAATAAAACTTTCTAAAGTTGGGAGGAAGAGACGGAGGAGAATGATTGAGCACGCATGTTCGTGTAAAGTAGAGAGGAACTTTTATCTTGGCAATAGTTTGCAGAAATATAAAATTGTAGAGCTGAATAATGTAATAGACACAGCATTCAAGGAGCACAGTGCTGGCCACCAGCTGTATCAGTGTGAAGGAGGTGAGCACCAAGGCTTTTCCTCCTCAGGTTGGCAAGATCCCTCCAAAGAGAAAACTCTGCACAAACACCTCAGCATTTAAAACAGCCTTTCCCAAGCTTCTGGGCGTAGCCAGGGGGAGGCAGGGAGGCAGCTGCCTCCCCCCAATCAATCAAAATCTGAGGTTCTGCTTCCCGAACAAAAGCCTGTGTCCCCCAACAACAATCTTGGCTACACCCATGCCCAAGTTCATGCTCTCCAAGTGCTGCCTGGGGTGCAGCTTGAGGAAGGATAACTTAAAACTTGAATAATATTGTTTGTGGGAGATTGGCATGGAAGATTTAAAAAGAAATGAAAACATGAGGACCTCAAAAGTAAATGTGTGTGTTGATATTCCAGCTCCCTGGCAGACCAAAACGACCTGCTGGCTCAGCTGCACTCCCCAGTTAAACCAAGAGCTAGCCTGGAGTTGCAAAGGTTCCCCACTTCCCACCCCTCCCTCAGCCTAACTGCACTCTAGGAGGGAACAGGAAATGCTCAAAAAAATGGGAATGCAGAGCTAATGGGAATGCAGTTGATTTGAAGCTCAGTTCACCTCCCTTGTGGCATCACATTCAACTAAGGACACCAGAAAGTTTTCTGCCACCCTCCCTCCCACGCCTGTTCACCCTTCTGTACCTTTTGTTCTTGTCATGCTGATCCTTCTCCCGATCCCGGTGGTCAGCGAATGCCAAGTTCCCAAAGCGGAAGTCGTCAGGTGAAGACTCGCCCCAGGCTTGTATGTGGTCCAATTCTTTGCTGGCTGCAGGAGGTCAAAGGGTGGATAGAAGACCTTACAAGATGGTGGCAGCTCACAGAGGGCTGTGCTGGTGGTGATGGGAGTTTTGGACTAGGACCTAGGAGACCAGGGTTCGATCCCCATGCAGCCAAGAAGCTCACTAGGTCGCTTTGGGCCAGTCACTGCCTCTCATTGTGAATTAAGGCCAAGTCACCCAAGAGCTGGGCTTGGGTAGTCAATGGAAAGTGCTTTGCACAATTGTGTTCAATTGCCCTTTTGCAAGCAGATTTGCCAAGTGCAAAGCGACAACCCAAATTTATTTTTCATTTTAAAATCCCACTTGTAATGCAATCTGGGTTCTCAAAGCGGCTCACAACTATTAAGTCCCCAAAGTACAAAGGAAAAGACCCAGATATAAAAACCTAAGCTTTCTTTTAATTATCTGAACAAAGAGGGCTGGGAGGTGATCTTCCAAGATGCCAAAATATCTTCCTACTGGGTATTTCAGAGCTGACAGCAGTGCACTCACCTATGTTCCAGCTGCTGGTGCTGAGTCCAGGGTCTGACATGCTGGAACAGGAGCCAGAGGAGGTAAAGCTGGGCTGTTGGGAGAGAGACAAGAGGGAAGTTGCATCACCGGAAGAACCGACCTTGACTGGTCCTTTTGGGGAAAGCAGTCAGAGGCAGAGTCTACCCGTACATATCGGCTGTGGCTGGAGGAGCGTTGAGGAAAGAATCCCACAGGAATCAGGGCTCCCTGTGGCCTGGACTGGGCTTCAAAGACGCTGCACAGCATGGCCAGAGTCTGCACGTCATGGAGCCGGCAATAGTGGGCCACCCTAGGAAGGGGAGGGAAAGAGAAGACTGGGTAGACCAACGGCCACTCACGCACACAAGGCTCAAAGCAGAGATGGGGGCCACCTGCCCCCAAAGAAAAAATAATTCAGATTTGGCAACCCAACATCTTAGAGGAAAATATCAAGTAGATATAAACCATTATTTGCTTTGCCCTCAACAAAACCAAAGAGGAGGCAAACAAGTGCTCCAAAGCAGAATTCCTGCTTAGCATTACCACCAGCAGGTTTGGGGATTTCACATTCTTCATACTTCCCAATGTTTCTTCGGTTTTTCTTTGTAGCAAAAAAGGGGTCTGCACTTGTTTTTGCTTTTGTTTGCAAAGGAAAAGGTGAGAGAACCAGGATGCTGAATTTTTGTGCCTGATTTCAGATTCACTTTGCAAAGTATACAAAGCTTGGACTAAAACAAAGACCAAAACCCCCACAAACACTGCCTGGCTGCGAGACACACATTTTCCCCCTCAAGTCTCTATGGTTTTATAGGTCACCATATTTGCAAAAGAAGATGGGCTGGGGAGCCTTGGGGAACATAAGCACCATCCAATGGGATCCTGGATGATCTACAATTTGAAAAGGAACACACTGGTGCTTCAAGCAATAACAAAAAGCTAAGTAATTTTTTGTGAGTGTGCATTTTTAATTGAGAACAAAATATGACTGACAAGGGATACCACAGATGAAGGGATTGGGAACATGTGGCCCTCCCAAAGTGGTTGCACCACAACTCCCATCAGCCCCAGCCAGCATGGCCAATGATCACGGGTGATGGGAACTGGAGTCTCCCTGCATCTGGCAGACCACAGATTCCCCACCCAGCTGTGAGAGAGGATAATGAAGTGTTGCATGGCATAGCAAAATAACTCTCTCTCTCCCTCCCTCTGTCATAATAGGAGAACCGAGAGACATCCAACGAAACCAATTGCAAAAATATTCAGGGCAGATCGATAGGATTTATTTACACCACAACATAAAACTTATGGGATTACCTGCCCACAGCACATGTTAGCTAGGGCTGAGGGAGCTGCAGCCAAAGCAGAGATTCCTGATGACCTCAATGATCCCCAAACTGGGAGCGCAGAAACTGTTGACACCCACTACTATAGGTGACCAACCACTCAACACCCAAGAGGCACCCAGAAAAAAAATAGGAAGAAAATAAAAGGCACTGTTTTGTTTAAGCCTTTGGGTCCTCGCCTCTTCCCCACCCTCCCCCCAATTCTTATTCCAGCTGCTTACAGAGAATCCAGGAGCTGGCGGCCGAATGGATGCTGGGCCCAGGGGGTCTCCAAGTCTGGGTCGGAATTTGGGCCAAGGCAGAGATCAGTTGCTACTGTGGCCAGTGACCAGACCTGGAAAAGAAGGAGCAGATGATGGGCACACACACACACATAGATGCCCATGCTGTGCAGCCCACAAAGCAAGCAGTAACACTGTAGGGAAGAGGTTGAAGGTTGCCTGCTGAAATCCATAGCTCCATGTTGCATGGATGGTGTAATTCCACCTATGGAAGAGAGGGGGCCACTAGAACAGGGATGGAGGAAAGAAGAAGACAAGTAGCTGAGCAACAAAGAAGAGAGTAAAAAGCTCAGGCTGGACCATTGGCCCACTCTCTGCTGCTCCCTAAGTCAAGATGCTCCCCAGACAATATTGCGAAGCGATAGGAGATGCCTCGCTGGGCTAGCAAAAGTACCTGCAAGAGATCCTTGCGTCCCACAGTCAGGGCAGAGGCAGCGTTCTTCTGACAGGTCTCCTGGATGTCAGTCACGTTCAGTCTGAAGGACAAGAATAGCAGGTGATGCACAAGTGGGGGAGACATCACTCTCAAAGGCTTGGCCTGATTCTCCATATTTCATGCAAAGCAGGAGTGGGGAACCCTTTTCGGTCAGAGAATTGCATTCCCTCACAGGCAGTCTTACTGGAATTGAAGGCTGGTGGTGGGTAAGGCCAGAGACAAAGATGGGCAGAGCAATGGGTAGAGCTTTTACCTGTGTGCTGTAGTCTATATTCCAGCCATGCAAAAGACAGAGGCTTCTGAAGCCCACCACCACCACCACCCAACAAGCTAGAGGCATTTTAACAATTCAAAGACAGGTTCCAACCAGACACAAACACTGGAGGCCAGCTCTGCAGCTTCCCTTCCTCTTCTGTTGAGACCGTGGGGGTGGGGGGATGACTGCTGGCAGACAACTTGGGCAGTGGCTAGTTACCAAATCTCCCTTCTTTTCTGCCCAGGACAGGTGGAGACACAGCACTCAAGGCACCTCAGCCCTCTGTTGCCATTTCCTAGCTTGGAAACACAGCAGGGCGCAAAGCAGTCACTAGGCTCCAAGATCTCTCCGCCAGAGTGACAGAGAAAGAAAGGCCAGAAGAGAGATACAAGGCTGTCTCCCCTCCCCTCCCTACCCCACCCCAAGCTATACAGTAGTATAGCTGGAAAGCTGGAAGGAGTGAACTCCAGTGCACTGCCTCCAGAACACAGCATTCCTTGAATGAAAGACTGAGCTCTGGAAGTGGGTTCAGGGTTCCTGCTTTCCCCCTTCCAGGAAGAGAAAGGCCCAACAGCCTGAATCACAGCTCTTTAAGGCTAAAAGAGAGAATGTGGATTTGCCTGGTCAGCTGGGGGCAACCAAGCTCACCAAAGACAACCAGGCAAGTGGCTATTTGCACTCCCGCAAAAGGCAGGGGGTGGGGGTGGAGGAAGGAATTCAGAATTGTAGGGACAGACTTTCTGTCCTGATAGGGTGAAGGCCTGCAACAGAAAGTGCAAAATAGGAAACAAGGATCACAGGCTGAGTTCTTAACCTGTCCCCCAGAACAGTACCCAAGACTGAATTGCCACACAGAGTTTCTTGCACATGTGGCCCAGGTACTCACATGTACATCTCCCCTAGTAATTTGTGGACAGGAAGCAGGCAAGAGACATCCTGAATGATCACTTTCCCGGCAGCTTTGATGGGCCGGTTGGCAGCATCCGTCCCCTCTCGCTTGCTGCTCTTCCATCTCCTGGATTTCTGCAGTAGACAGAGCAGCATTTTAGAAGCAGTGATGAGGGGGAGAGACTGCAGACTGAGGGCAGGCAGGGAAGCTTTGGGAGGAGAACATTCAGCCCACGGCCCTGGAAGCTCTGCCTTAGGACCAACCAAGCAAACAGGAGCAGCTAATACACAGGGAGACTCGATAAAAGGCAGTCAAGACAGCAGCAAGAACAGAAGGAAGGAAGGTCTGCTGAGTTCAGTGGGCAAAGCCTAGAGAAGAGGCAGCTAAAGCAGGAAGCTGCCTTATGGAGAGTCAGGCTCTTCGTTGATCTGGCTAATGTGACCGGGCAGAAGCTCTCCTGGGTTTCCTCCAGCCCTACCAGGAGATGCTAGGGATTGAATCTGGGACCTTTTGCAGGCTAAGCAGATGCTGTACCACAGAAGTAACAAGCTAATCCTTGCATAACCTTGGTGGAAAAGGAATAGTCCCAGCCACCAAACTGACTGTAGAAGTTATGTTCCATGTGGCATATGGAGAGTGAAAGTAAGAAAGATTTGAAAAAGGAGACCTTCCTAGAATCCAAGTAGTTGTGGCCACATGAGCAGGCAGGGTGTGCTGGTGCATGGCCAGCCTGGCACAAAAGCAGCCTTTGCCAATCTGGTGCCCTTCAGAAATACAGCTCCCAACACAGCTGTGCTTCATGAGAGCTGGAGTCCAAATCAGTTGGAGTGAATGAGCTTGGCAGAGGCCACACAGCATGAAACACTGTACCAGGAGGACAGGCAACGTTCACTTTCAAAACAAGAGCATGGGCCGCAAGCAAACTAGTCATGCCCTGTGGCTTACAGCCACGAAGACTGGCTCTAGCCCACGGTTTCACTCATTCCTTTGGCCACGTTTTCCCATTTAGTTCTTAGATTTGCTTCTAGCTGCCTACTGGGTGAAGGGGAAGGGAGACACATGCAGAGTCGGGAAAGATGGAAGCCATGAGGTGCCAGCAGCCATGCAGGTCATTGGGCTTTCACTGCATGCACAAGAGCTGGAGGCTTCTCTGGGTCTCCGAGTCTCATGTACACCAGTTTATATGCATCAATGATGCCAAAGCAACTGGTAACTAATCTGCAAGATGTTATCAATAAATGCCTTATAGGGGTATGCATGGATCCCATTCCCAATCCAAGATCATTCTCAGGACTTTGGCTGAAAAGGCCCAGGTAAGACTGATCAAGCTGTGCTTACTGCATGTGATCAAGCCATTAACATCCAAGATGGTGACTTGGTGCATTTCTCACAGAATAAAACGACACATGACCTCTACCTAATAGTGGGAATTCCTGCCTTCCACCCCTCCTCCCGTGCAAGTCCCTGTTGCAGATGCAATAATACGTGCATGTACACAAAAGCGCAATTCCCTTGAAGTTCCCCTATTTGCACGAATCATTAACATCCAAAGCTGTTTGTCAGAGAAAAAAAGAATTTATAGGGGGGAAATGTGTAGGGAGGGAGGAGGGTGGGTGGGTGCACAGAGGAATGCACAAAGTCAGTTATGCTTCATGCACCTCTCGCCAGCTATTTAAAAAGTGCTCAATATCTGATCAGAAGTTAGTTAGAAGAACATGTGGGATTTGAAGCCTGAAGGAGAAACCACAACCCAGAGAAAGTGAACACTCAAGAGACAAACACTGCACTGGCACAGTGACACATCTGCAGAGGAAGCTTCCCACCCTGAGCGGCCAGAGGCCCAGGGGGCTCTATGATTTCAGAGGGGGAAAGTCATGCAGTGTCATACTGGTGCCTTGTGGAGGGCAGGGAGATTTTTAAACACCCACAAGAAGTCCTTTCTCATGCAGACTATTTGTTGTTCTTTAGTCGTTTAGTCGTGTCCGACTCTTCGTGACCCCATGGACCAGAGCACGCCAGGCACCTCTGTCCTCCACTACTTCCTGCAGTTTGGTCAAACTCATGCTGGTAACCTTGAAAACACTATCCAACCATCTCGTCCTCTGTCGCCCCCTTCTCCTTGTGCCCTCCATCTTTCCAAGCATCAGTGTCTTCTCCAGGGAGTCTTCTCTTCTCATGAGGTGGGCAAAGTACTGGAGCCTCAGCTTCACGATCTGTCCTTCCAGTGAGCACTCAGGGCTGATTTCCTTAAGAATGGATGCGTTTGATCTTCTTGCAGTCCGTGGGACTCTCAAGAGTCTTCTCCAGCACCATAATTCAAAAGCATCAATTCTTCAGCGATCAGCCTTCTTTATGGTCCAGCTCTCACTTCCATACATCACTACTGGGAAAACCATGGCTTTAACTATACGGACCTTTGTTGGCAAGGTGACGTCTCTACTTCTCAAGATGCTGTCTAGGCCTGTCATTGCCCTTCTCCCAAGAAGCAGGCGTCTTTTAATTTCGTGGCTGCTGTCACCATCTGCAGTGATCATGGAGCCCAAGAAAGTAAAATCTCTCACTGCCTCCATTTCTTCCCCTTCTATTTGCCAGGAGGTGATGGGACCAGTGGCCATGATCTTCGTTTTTTTGATGTTGAGCTTCAGACCATATTTTGCGCTCTCCTCTTTCACCCTCATTAAAAGGTTCTTTAATTCCTCACTTTCTGCCATCAAGGTTGTGTCATCTGCATATCTGAGGTTGTTGATATTTCTTCCGGCAATCTTAATTCCAGCTTGGGATTCATCCAGCCCAGCCTTTCGCATGATGTATTCTGCATATAAATTAAATAAGCAGGGAAACAAAATACAGCCTTGTCGTACTCCTTTCCCAATTTTGAACCAATCAGTTGTTCCATATCCAGTTCTAACTGTAGCTTCTTGTCCCACATAGAGATTTCTCAGGAGACAGATGAAGTGATCAGGCACTCCCATTTCTTTAAGAACTTGCCATAGTTTGCTGTGGTCGACACAGTCAAAGGCTTTTGCATAGTCAATGAAGCAGAAGTAGATGTCTTTCTGGAACTCTCTAGCTTTCTCCATAATCCAGCGCATGTTTGCAATTTGGTCTCTGGTTCCTCTGCCTCTTCTAAATCCAGCTTGCACTTCTGGGAGTTCTCGATCCACATACTGCTTGAGCCTTCCTTGTAGAATTTTAAGCATAACCTTGCTAGCGTGTGAAATGAGTGCAATTGTGCGGTAGTTGGAGCATTCTTTGGCACTGCCCTTCTTTGGGACTGGGATGTAGACTGATCTTCTCCAATCTTCTGGCCACTGCTGAGTTTTCCAAATTTGCTGGCATATTGAGTGTAGCACCTTAACAGCATCATCTTTTAAAATTTTAAATAGTTCAGCTGGAATACCATCACTTCCACTGGCCTTGTTATTTGCAGTGCTTTCTAAGGCCCATTTGACTTCACTCTCCAGGATGTCTGGCTCAAGGTCAGCAACCACACTACCTGGGGTGTACGAGACATCCATATCCTTCTGGTATAATTCCTCTGTGTATTCTTGCCACCTCTTCTTGATGTCTTCTGCTTCTGTTAGGTCCTTACCACTTTTGTCCTTTATTATGGTAATCTTTGTACGAAATGTTCCTTTCATATCTCCAATTTTCTTGAACAGATCTCTGGTTCTTCCCATTCTGTTGTTTTCCTCTATTTGTTTGCATTGCTCGTTTAAGAAGGCCTTCTTGTCTCTCCTTGCTATTCTTTGGAAATCTGCATTCAATTTCCTGTATCTTTCACTATCTCCCTCACATTTTGCTTGCCTTCTCTCCTCCGCTATTTGTAAGGCCTCGTTGGACAGCCACTTTGCTTTCTTGCATTTCCTTTTCATTGGGATGGTTTTCGTTGCTGCCTCCTATACAATGTTACGAGCCTCCATCCATAGTTCTTCAGGCACTCTGTCCACCAAATCTAAATCCTTAAACCTGTTCCTCACTTCCACTGTGTATTCATAAGGGATTTGACTTAGATTGTATCTTACCGGCCCAGTGGTTTTTCCTACTTTCTTCAGTTTAAGCTTGAATTTTGCTATAAGAAGCTGATGATCTGAGCCACAGTCAGCTCCAGGTCTTGTTTTTGCTGACTGTATAGAGCTTCTCCATCTTTGGCTGAAGAGAATATAATCAATATGATTTCGATGCTGCCCATCTGGTGATGTCCATGTGTAGAGTCGTCTCTTGTGTTGTTGGAAAAGCGTGTTTGTGATGACCAGCTTGTTCTCTTGACAGAACTCTATTAGCCTTTGCCCTGCTTCGTTTTGCTCTCCAAGGCCAAACTTGCCAGTTGTTCCTTTTATCTCTTGACTCCCTACTTTAGCATTCCAATCCCCTATAATGAGAAGAACATCCTTCTTTGGTGTCACTTCTATAAGGTGTTGTAAGTCTTCATAGAATTGGTCAATTTCAGTTTCTTCAGCACCAGTAGTTGGTGCATAAACTTGGATTACTGTGATGTTAAAAGGTCTGCCTTGGATTCGTATCGAGATCATTCTATCATTTTTGAGATTGCATCCCAGTACAGCTTTCGCCACTCTTTTGTTGACTATGAGGGCCACTCCATTTCTTTTACGGGTTTCTTGCCCACAGTAGTAGATGTGATGATCATCCAAACTGAATTCGCCCATTCCCGTCCATTTTAGTTCACTGATGCCCAGGATGTCAATATTTATTCTTGCCATCTCATTTTTGACCACCTCCAACTTACCCAGGTTCATGGTTCTTACATTCCAGGTTCCTATGCAATATTTTTCTTTACAGCATTGGACTTTCCTTTCGCTTCCAGGCATATCCGCAACTGAGCGTCCTTTCGGCTTTGGCCCAGTCGCTTCATCAGCTCTGGATCTACTTGTACTTGCCCTCCGCTCTTCCCCAGTAGCATGTTGGACGCCTTCCGACCTGAGGGGCTCATCTTCCAGCGTCATAACTTTTATATGCCTGTTGTCTTTGTCCATGGAGTTTTCTTGGCAAGGATACTGGAGTGGCTTGCCGGTTCCTCCTCCAGGTGGATCATGTTTGGTCAAAACTCTCCACTATGACCTGTTCATCTTGTGTGCCCTGCTCGGCGTAGTTCATCGCTTCTCTGAGTTCTTCA